TCCGAATGGTTATTAAATATCAGCACCAATAAAGCTTACACAAAGCTCATACATTTATTCCATCCGTGAATTATTTTCACCGATTTCTGGGTAAATAAACCATCAGATGATCGATATTTTTTGTTTACTATCAATTTAACCAATTTTACAGAGATTAAATTTTGATTTCGGATTTCAGTTCGCATGATGCTGAACGTTTCGCAGAATCATAACTAAATATTAGTTAAAATAAGAGAATAGCATGTTTTTAGTTGCATACGAAAGATAATTATGTTCTTCTAAGCAGAATAACTTAAATATAACAATTGTATTAAATAATTTTATAATATTCAAACTTTCGGTTCTGTTAAGCCTTGTTCGAATTCATATTAATATTCGTACTGTGATATGTGTATATTTGATTAACAAATTAATTTCATTTTAATAAATATTTTATACATATATATCCTTAATATAATGACTCTTTCTTTATGTTGTATCGTGAAAATAACTTTACTAACTTTAATATGCATCTTAACTTCTTGTAATTTTAAATTTTAGTGTCACGGAATAAAAAAATTTGCGGTTATTTTAGTTTAAAAGAACATTCTTGTAGTAAAATAATAACACTCAAAAGTTATGTAAAGCGTTTCACTACATCACTTTGGTGTAGCATTCTTGTACTATTTTTGGTGTTGAGATACATTAAACTTGTTTACGTTTTTGACAAACATTTTTGCACTCAAAAAGCATCGTCAAAAACAACAGAATTCGATAAAATCTACCGTATTTCTGGCTTTATAAAAACACTAAAAAGCTAACTTTTCGATATGCTTTGGTAGTGATTTTGGTTAAAATAACACTAAAATATGGTTTTATAATATGAGTTGAAATTCGCTAATTTTAACATGATATCTTAGATCATGGCATAAAAAATCAGTTAAATTTACTTTTCCTTTTTTTATTTTTTGCTTAATATGTGTTAATTATAATTATAATTTTGAAATTTGGAATTTCCGGTAAACCGACCATATGTACGAAAATTACTCAAATAAAAGATTTAAATACCGTATATTTTAAATTTATTACGTTTTTTCTTTTTAAATCACGTTTCTTTTTGAATTACGTTTTTTCTTTTTATATCAAAATTGTCCTTATCATACAGTACGGTAAGTTTACCAGTACTGTTTTCTCCGTGTGAACAGATAACATGAACATACATTCAAGTTCACGTTAACGTGGCTCTTACTGTATTCGATGTTTTTGAAGACAGACAGTTTAAAAAATTCACAGATTTTAGAAAAAAATGCTTATTACTGTTTTTTGAAACAAAATCAAAAATTGATGAAAAGCATTCAATATTTTACAACGATGGAAAAAATATTTCTCTGTTCTATGTCTTAATAAAAAAGTATGCAATATAAATGTCCTTTTTATATTTATTTAAATTTCTTCACTGAACTGCAATATTTTCTTTTTGCTCGTGTTGTTAGACTTATGTCTAAGTAAAAGTTATGAGATATTTTCTTCCAAAACATTGAATAGTTTAGTCATTTCGATTCTCTGTCGATTTGTACTTTTCTGCATAAGAATCGAAAGTAATATCAAAGAACGTTTCAGAAATGTCATTTAATACACGAGTCATAAAATTCTACTGTTTATGATATCAAAAATACTTTGATTTATGAAATAAAAAATGAAATTATTTCTTTGAAACAAGGAGTTGAGTTTTCACAAAACAATTCTTCTTTACGTTAAATAAAATCATTTCTATTTCGTATTTATTTTCAAAAAATTACAATTTATATGCCTACGAGATAAAAAATGTCACAATTTCGGATTTGTCAGAATTAATGTAAAGTATCAAAATATGAGATAAAATGTCTGTGGTGTTACAAAATAGTAATTTTGTTAGATATTGTATGCATTAAATAACTTAAAATGGGGTGTATTATATTAGATAACTGAAATGTAGTTTTATCTTCATTAAACTGTGCTACATAATTGCTTTACTTTTACTGCAAAAATACTAGTAAAATCTAGTTTTTTTTATTTATTTTTATAAAGAAAATAAAAAAAAATCATAAAAACTTAATCTTAAATACATATATTAAAAATATGTGTCATTTTTGTACAAAATGAAATATGTTCAAAGTGAGTGTAGTTATTAAACTTAAAAATGGTTATAGAAATTTATTCACGTTTTTATTGGATTGTAATCATGCTTAAACGAAAAACAAAAATATTAACATATTTGTATAGATTAATTTATAAAGTTAAAAGTTAATATTAAAAATGCATTTAGCATTTAGTTCAATTAACCAAGATCGTGCTATTAAGCTAATGGGTGATAAAATTTATCATTAGACAAAAAAAAATTATTGGATTACGTTAATGTTACAATGATTATGTAATTACAAGCTTAAATAAACTTTACTGCAAATGTATCACAAAAACATTGAGACTTGATATTATGAGTTTTGACTGCCGCTTTTTTTTTTAAAAAAAAAACAGTTCAAATAGGTTAAATGTTATTAATAAATTTAATAAAAGTTTTCATTGCGCAAAAGTAACGTAAAGTCTAAGCAATTAATTCATATAAATTAAATTAAATTCTAATTGGTTCTCAAATATATGAATTGTTAATATTTTTATGAATAAATTTGCTAAATTATTACGAATTTTCTGGAAGAAGAGCTGAAGGGAAATAAAAGGGAAATGTTTTAAATTTTATTATTATTTTAATAAAGTCATAATAAAAGGCATTATGACAGTCTTTTATTGCCGAATTGTAACACAAATAATTTACATTTAATTTATATCAATTAAATTGAATTCAAATTGGGTTTCAAACACATAAATTGATAATACTCTTACGAATAAGCTATATCTGAATTAATACTGATTTTCTTGGAAAGAAAAATAATGGAAATACAGAAGAAAATTATTTTTTCCTGATTACTGTATACTTCCTAAAGCGAAATACTCTTGCTATATAGCTTTCCTAAACTGACGAGTCATAGCTAAGTCTTAATAGTGTTAAAGGATTTATAATAGAAAGGAACTTAAGAAACGTAATGAAAGTTGGCGTTAGTTTTTTTTTCTCATCTATATCATTACTATAAATCCTTTGAACAATTCTTTTCATTATTCTTGAATTACAGATATTATATGGCTTATTTTTCATCATTTATCTTTAGCTTCAAAACTTATATTTCATTATGTTTATGCTATCTGGTATTCAACTGAATGGTTATTAGTCTTTCGAATTTATTTCTGTATTATTTTTAGAAAAATATTCTGAGGAACTATTTTTATTTCATAGAAGAAAAGCATTTCCAAACGGGGAATATATCACGAAATTTAGAAATAAGATTATGGCAGTCCTTGTATCTTAACATATGCTTATAAAACTTTCAGTATTAATTTTTCTTAAAGTTCATGACAACTAAAGGCATAACTCGCGTTGTTTATCCGTGAAGGTTATTCAAAGTAGAATAAGTCATAGAATAGTAGAAGACCCGATAGAACAAAATCATAACTAAATCATATAAATATATATATATTTTTAATGACTTCCATGATTTGAAGTAAAGTTTTAGATATTAAAACAACGTAAACTATCTCGGTATGAAAGGTTTAACATTTCTTTTCATCTTAATAATAGGGAAGAATTATTATCCAGCATAATATTTTTAACAAGAATATTTTAACTGGAATATTTTTCATCATAACTAATCTCGAAACAGAAATTTTGAAATATGAATTCTACTACTACAAATAATTCTTAAATGAATTTATATGTTTGATACCGTATAATTATAAAATCTAAGGATTAATTTTAATAAAAAAACACTGATGTACTCAGTTCATTTCAAAAGTGCGAGATGTTTAGATTAAATAAATAAATTAAATGCCTTCAACAAATAATCAGTTAAAGACGATTTTACACAGTTAATTATATGAAACTCAAAAGTACATTCTTACAATTGTGTAGGCATTTGTCCCAATAAGACACTTGTTAGCCAATGCTACTCAGGATATAGGACCAGTTGCGCATTTATACATCGTCTATTTGAAACTGTTTTCATCGATGCGCTTCTTTGAGAACATTGAAGATATGCAATCACATTTAGGCAGAACTCCAGGGTGAGTAACGCTGCATTGCCCATTTGAGTTTTCCAAGATGTTCCCATCCGGTTGCCTAGTGTTTTTGAGCAACAATATGATGTATACGAAAGAGTTGATCAGTCGATCTCATTACGTTGCCTAATATAACAAAGGCTTCCAACCACCGATAATCATTGAATTCAGTTATAAGAAATCGATTAGCAGCTGCTCTTCACATTCGGTTCTTCGACTTAGAGTTAAATTCAGAAACGAATTGACTGTCCTCCTTTTATCGCAGTTTGTGTAGCAAGTATTGCCACACAGCGAGCGAACAGCATGAATCCTTTTTGTCATACCAAAATCTACATTTTGAGTCCGTCACCATTTCTTAAATAATATAATTTCGTTTAATTGATATCTGACTCGTTATTTATTGACAAGCTTAATTATTGTTAAATAATAAAAATTTTGATAATAGTTTTATTACGGAGGAAAATGAAACGAGGAACTTTAGTTTAGTTTGCTATAAAATAGTTTTATATTTAAAGTTGCAGCCATTGAAAGAAACAGAATTCGCTTATTCAAGTCTCCTTTTATTAGTTTCGAATTTTAAATAAGCTATTTATGAGAACCATTTGTGATATTTTAATTTAGATAAACTTGATTTCCATTGATTTAGTCGGTACAGAAGATTCAGCTTTGCACTGAAGAGATCCAGGACAGTCAAACTGCTTCTCAAATGTTTAACAGCTAAACACACAGGCTTTATTTACATCAACTTAATATTTTAGTACTACTCTTATAGATAGAACTAACAATTATAATTATAAGAGTCGTAGATTTAAAATGATATGTTTAAAATGTCTTATAAAGTTTTTCTTTTTTACGAGATTTTAATGAACACATAAGAATCAGTAAAAAAATATTTTATTATACAAATATTAACAACCATATAAATAGAACAGCTCTTATACATTCTGTCAGTCTGCAATTACTTAAAATAAGTATTTACTAAAAATATAATTATCAAACAACTTTATGATTTCTTTGTTTCTTCATGGCTCATGTATATGAAAAGTTTCCGGTGATGAGAACAAGTATAATTGAGCTCTTATTTCAAATCTATTTTCTTGCTTGATTTCAAATTAAAAAATCTCACTAATTGTTTTATTTTCATAGGAATTTAATTATATTAATCACGTGACAGACGATAAAAATCTATAAAATATTGTTGGCAACATAAGTGCTAAATAAAAATAAAGTTTAGCACAGAAGCTTATGCGTGGATTAGCGGAGGAGTATCTTAATGCTGTAATTCCGTTAGCCACAGTTTTTGTTCCATTATTTGGCAATGGCTCAATACCTAAAAGCTCACAAAGAATATTATAAATATCAACCATCTGTAGAGGCTGCGATATGTAATTTCTCTTTAGTCCTGCAAAGAAAAGGTCAAATTTAGTTTTTTTTTTTTTAAATATGAGAGAACAAAAGTACTCATAAAATTTATAAATTATCCAAAATGGACGATTCCACCACACCCACCGTTAAATCTTATGTGAAAATCTTAATGAAAAAAGTTCTTTATATGATGTATGAAAATAAAGTTTTAGTTTATAATTTCTATGGTAATGAAATCAATTTGTTGCGAGCTTCAAAAACTGCTGCCATTTCATGAAAGAACTCACGAAATAATATTTTAAATTTTAAAAAAATCGTCTGCTTCATATGAAAGAGAGTTCGATATGTTTCGAATGATCAGAACACTACGTTTTCTATCAGAACGGCACGCGAATGACACAAGCTTAAAAACAGATTCAAGTTAAAATCTAGAGAAGGCAGTTGCCAATGAAAAAATTGTATAGAAAAATAAATGAGCTAAAAACCATAACTTGAGAAAGCAAGATAGCTCAAAGAGGCTAGTCAAAATAGAATTATTTAGATACTATGCTTTGTCGTGTACTATCTTATATTTTAACCATGTGACAAAATAAGTTCTTGTTTTTATGTATATTTTTCGTGTTAGTTTTCTTGAAAATATTCGTTTTATATTAAATGATATTCTCATTACAATCGACTAAACGTAATAAGAATATATAATAAAAATATGTTACAAGTCAATCATACTTTCAAAGGCGTAATGGAAGAGACACTCAATATGTGACATTTTAGTGAACTTGATATAAATAGCTTTAAAACGTACGAGGTGTGTAAATTAAGAAATTAGACAGATATTTGAATTTTTTTTATTTGGATAAAATTACAATCCATTGTTGTCTACCTTGAAATAATACTCCTAATAAGCAACACTGCGTTGGAGACGATTCTTCTACATCTCATATTAATGATGGAATTCATACAACTTTTAACAATTACAGTCCATTGTTGTCTACCGTGAAATAATACTCCTAATAAGCAACACTGCGTTGGATATTATTCTTCTACATCTCGTATTAGTGATGGAATTCATACAGCCTTTAACAATTACAATCCATTTTTGTCTACCTTGAAATAATACTCCCAATAAGCAGCACTGCGTTGGAGATGATTCTTCTGCATCTCATATTAGTGATGGAATTCATACAGCCTTTAAAAATTACAATCCATTGTTGCCTACCTTGAAATAATACTCTTAATAAGCAACACTGCGTTGGAGATGATTCTTCTACATCTCATATTAGTGATGGAATTCATACAGCCTTTAGCAATTACAATCTATTGTTGTCTACCTTGAAATAATACTCCTAATAAGCAACAAGACGTTTCCTCTACACCTTATATTAGTGATGGAATTCATACAGCCTTTAAAAAGTTTTTTGAGTCCTAAAATGACGTCCCTTGAAATTAATTATTATTTCGAAAATAGGAAAAAAATTATAAGTGTTCATGTTAGGTAAGTAAAGAGTTTGAAGAGTCAGAAATCTTTTTGCTGTCCAAAAACGCATTTATTGTTATTGCTGTGACATTGATTACATTTAGTGATATCACAGAGTCGTGATGCTCCTTCTTGGTATTTTGTCTCACAGGTATGGTCCCTTTTCGGAATGTATTAGTCAAAGTCTAATGTACATTGGTGGGATTCAATTTCAACTGTTCTACTATTATTTTAGCCGTCAACCGATGCTACAAGATAACGGATTTCATACATTTTCATCTACTCTAACAGATGAAGGGTCTTCCTCTGCTAATTGATTAAGGCATTTTCAGAAGGCAAAGAATATCTTCTGTTTGGAAATGCCATAAACCATTATAAAACCAGGGAAATTGAGTAAACACTGTCTCACTAAGACAGCTGGAGCCTTGCAAAATTTTTTGTTGCACTGTTTTCATGTCTGAAGTCAAATATGATAATGCATCGTTATTGCTCCTTATCAATGTCACTCATTTTAATAATGCACTACAAAATTTTATAGACCACGTCTGACCACATGAATCTATCAAGTTTAGACTTATGCTGAAAACATGACAATTGCACCAACCACCTCTCGAAATTTGGTGCGCCCAGGATTATCATATTGAACGTGATGTCGCTAGTCTAATTACCTAATTTACTCACCCCGTATGAATGTATCACGTATCTATACGTATCGATGTATTGACCTGTTTTTAAAATCCTTTTTCTGTTGAAAAATGTCTTATTTAAAGACTTGGCAGAAAAATATATTTTCTTTTTTGTAAGCGATTAATAACATATTTTTGAACCCTTAAACTTAAGGGGTTTCAAAATATTATTCTACAAAGCGTTTTAGTTAGCAATGTTAAAATGTTCTTACTTATTATAATTCAAATGCCTACAGATACACAAGCAATACCTTGACAGTTTATATATCTTTAATTTTCAGTTCTTTAGAATTCAAACACTTATTTCGATGAGTATTTAAATCAATGAATTTAAGTATGGCGAGAAATATGGATAATAGGTTTCGCTTTTGCATCTTATTATTTCGGTTTTATTTTCATCTCACAGCAATCAATCATTGATATGAAAATTAAATTACCTCTTTTGGAGTGGTTTTGCAGAAATAGGTTAGAATACTTTTTGATTTTCCAACTTCATTACAAGATGCAGAAAAAGATTTATAGCAATTTAGACACTGTAGCTTCATTTATATTTGGAATTTCGATGACCTCGTGCTTGCTGGTTTGCTTAGCATTAATAAAGGTTTAAAATCAATAAATTGTTGATCTGGAACTCTTTTACAACCATTAAAATATATAACCGAATGGAATGAGTTTATATTTTTTGATGCTTGAAAAAATTTGATATTTTTATGAAGGATTTAATTAAATAATTGATCAACTTTTATGACTGATTTAAATTATTAATTTTTGTTTATGAATAAAAATAATTATTTAACCCGGGAGTCTAGATTAACACCAGAACATATGTTTATTTCGATTTAATTTTTGAAAATAAACTAAATAAAGAACAATGTTTCGCTATAATATTTTACAAATAAATAACTCTTTATGAAAAAGCAAAATTAATAGGATAATAAAGATATTACGGTATTTGTAACTATTATTTTAGATATAGATATAACTATATCTATATCCAAAACTATGAAATATTTTTTCTGGTATAAACATCAATTTGTAAAATCTGCAAAAAAATATTTTTTTCAAGAATTCTGAAAACATATCTTTAAGGCAATCGTATGGAACTCTTTATAGCAGTGTTTCCCAAACTTATGACTTTTGCGTACCCTTTTTAAATTTTTCGTAGCGCTGTGTACCACTAATAAAAAAATGAATGTATTTTATAAAAATATGTCTATTTTTACTATAAAAAATTGCACAAAAGTTAAGAATCACAACTGGCTCTTAACAGCGCTAATTATTAATTGTTAACTCAGCAAAAAATAGCCAATAGAAAAATACGTAATCGTAAATTTTCATGGCTTAGCTTTGTTTTTATATAAAATTTGTTTGAAATTTTTTAAACATTTTTTTGTTTCGTTTGTTGCAAGATATTTCGCATAAGAACGCGTACCCCCTCTGAACTGTTCCCGTACCCCTGGGGGTACGCGTACCACACTTTGGTAAACACTGCTTTATAGATAAATGCGTGACACGATTTCTGTAAAGTTAATTGACACACTTGAAAGTATAAAAATTCAACTTTGCCAAGTTTGTAAAAACTTTAACTAACCTTTATTAATACATTTTTTTTGTTAATTACTTATTTAAAGCATAATTTAGGGAAAATACACACTCCTAATTTAAAAAAATATTTTTGCATTTATTTCATAAAATAACTAGTTAGGATTTGCAGAAAAATAACACTTTCAAAGCAAAAAAAAAAAAAATTTAAAAAATGCTTCTCTATTCCAAACTTTTCATTCTTTTGTTCGATTATTAAAGGCATTTTATTTTCTACATGAAAGAGATGATTAAAAGATTTTCAAACCTGGTCCTCTAGCGAAGAAAATGCCTCTCATATCTGGAACTTCATATGGATCATAGCCATGAGATCCTAATGATATTGATGAACCAGTAGGAATGCTTTTACCAGGGATATCTAACTGGGGAATAAATGATGGAAGAATGCGAACTAAATAAATATTGTTGAATGCATTTTCTATTGAATGCTATGCACAGTATAAGAAAAGGAAAAATACATAAACATATTATTAGATAATTAATGCAGTTTATATGCCGTAACTTTTAGTTGAACTAAATTTGAGTTTAAATTTTACTGGCATTTGATAAACATAAATATTTTTTTTGTTAACAAAATTAGTTATTAAAAAGAATTTGGCGCTATATATTTGCTTTACTATGCAGAAACGTTAATTGTTTCTAGCCATGAAAATAATTTACACTTTAAATTACAATGATTATTTTTACAATAGCATATCGATATTTTTATTTCCTTTATCTTAGTTAAAAACTTTTCTAATATCATAAACTATACTGGTTGATTTTTTTAAATACACATAACTGATTTTTACGTTATGTATATGAAGATTAGAAACAAGATGCATTTCATTTACATAAAAATTTAAAATACGTAAACCTGGAGATTAAAATAGTTCTTTAGTGCAAACGATAATAAATAAAAGTTTAGCACTTCTGTTATGAATCATAGTAGGTTTTTAACTAAGTTAAGTTATTTACACGGTACACTTAAAAATTATTATAATTTAAAAAATTTTGATCTGCGTATTTTATCGAATTATATAAATATCTGTATTTTTGCTTTATAATTTGATTATGTAAGCATAAAAAATATTTCAGTAATTTTTTTTCCATACTGAATTAATGATATATTGATATATCATTAAAAAAAGATAAACAGTTAATTTTACAGTAGTAAATATGCAGCAAATGTAAATATTAAATACTGTTTATTTACACCCTGCTTATTGTCTGCTGTTTGATTCATATAATAAATCCAGATCAAATGAATAATTTCAATATACAAATTAATATTACAGTTAAATCTCTTAGTATTTCTTATGTCATGATTTTTATTTGCTATTTTTCTTTTAATAAATTTGAATAAGGAACAACAGAACAAATATAGACAGTTATTGGTAAAAAAAAAACAACACACTTACTCCTTTGATATAATAGTTTTTGGAAGCCACCAAAAGTATTGGAAGTGTTAGTCTATTATTTCTTATGTGATAGTGTTCAGGAATTTCTTCTTTGAGGTAAACATGAAGACCTGTTATTCCTTTGAGCTCTTCATACAGCTGGAAAATATTTTAATATTGGGTGAGTTCCCTGATTTGGTGTTTTTGGAGCGCGCTATGACGGGGACGTTCGAAAATGACCGAAAAAGATTAGTCATTTTATTCTTGAGAGAATAGTGGAGATATCCCACCCTTCCCTTTTTTTGTTAAAAGCTAATGATTTTGTATTGTATTAAAATGTTTTGAAAACAATTCGCGTGGCAAGTTCAGAAAAGAGAATTATGGTATAGGATTTAAGTAATCCACGACTGCATATAGTTCCGTTTTATTTAGCTGTCAAATTATAAAATTATTCTTTTAAAACAATATAAAAGCTTTTAAAAATTAAACTCATCGAAAAGAAATTTAATTCGATCTATTTTTTATAAGCAAAAAGAAGACCGTGCTACGTCGCTTCAGGAGTTGGCAATGTTAATATTCGTTTACGTTGGAAGCTTGCCATACATTTAGATGCAAACAGGTTCTTCCCATAGGGGTAATGGTTTATTCTTGCCTTGCTACAGAGTATAATAAATTAATTATACTAAAAATATTTCCCAACAATACGCCAACATAATTTTTTATTGTAAATTTTCTTGAAATTAAAAATTCCATTTTTATTATGCATTTAGTAATTGAGAATCTGATTTGTGCATTTTGAGCAGAATGGGCAAATCAGATCCATTAAGAATGTTATCTAAATTTTTAAAAATTATGAATTGAATTTTATTATACTTTAGGGTTTTAGTTTTTTCTGCTGTAGTTTATTTTTATGATGAATTATGAAAAACATTGATAAAAATAATTTTTATTAAAAACGTAAAGGCTATGACCTTCATCGCTCGATAAGCCGACAGTCAAACGACTGTTTACATTTAAAAAGTTGAAAGAGTTTAAAGTGCGTTTCAAAAACTCAGTGTCGGGAAACTCTCCCAAAATAAGATCAATAATACGACGCACACATATAAACAGTTTTTTTAATCAACGAGAAATAATGATAACAAATATCATTACATGATTTGAAAATTAATGATATATCAGAATTGCGTTTTCAGTTTTACCTTCTCAGTTTTTCCCTCACATGGCAGTAGCATGCTTGTTGCTCCATAATATACCATGTATTTTATATCAGAAACATCAACCAACTGTTGCAGATTTATGACGTTCAAGCCTCTTGAATCCGTCGATGTCATTCCGTGATCAGAAAGTGCCACAAGATTCACCTTAAAGTTTTTGAAAACAAAATATGTCGTTGCAAAATCAGTAAAAGTTTATAAATATTTGAAATTTATCAAGAAACACTACACTATTAGATGTTTGCGAACCTTGATTGATAAAAATCACTGTTAAAGTAATTTTGTTAATCATTAGTAGGGGAGAGTGGGGTCAATTGTAACAGGGTACGATTGTAACAGAGCAAAACTTTCGAATGTCGGGTTCTAGATTTGGTTCCTAGGTGGCGCACAAGATGTATTTAATAAATCTACATGTACAGTCAGCAAAAAAAAAAAGATATCACCCTGAATAACTTTCGTTCTAATGATCCGATTTTCACGAACTAAGTGTCAATCTTAATGGTTCCTGGGGGTGACCTCAAATATGCTAATTAATTAGTGCTAACTATTAATTAAGTTACGAAATCAGACACAAAAACGTACTTTCTCTGAATAAACATNATATATATATATATATATATATATATATATATATATATATATATATATATATATATATATATATATATATATATATATATATATATATATATATATATATATATATATATATATATATATATATATATATATATATATATATATATATATATATATATATATATATATATATATATATATATATATATATATATATATATATATATATATATATATATATATATATATATATATATATATATATATATATATATATATATATATATATATATATATATATATATATATATATATATATATATATATATATATATATATATATACAATATCGCAATGTGTGATTTTATTCTAAAACATTTTAATTTCAAAATATAATTCTTAATTCCGATGTTCTACTAAATTTTGTATTATTTTAATCGCTACCTTTTTACGGATTATTCTATATAATTTGCAAGTTATAAATATTCCCTCCGGCGTGATTTCTGTATTGTTCTTTAAATCAGAATACATGATTTTAATCATTCAAGTGTAAAATAAGTGCAATTTGTGTAAGGAAAAGGCTTCTTATCTCAAAATACTCACATTTCTAAAGTATCAAATTAAATTAAATGTAGTTAGATTTTATTGTTACCTACCCTTTCGCATGAAATTTAAGGTCCACTGATTTGTAAAATCTAGTCGTTCTGTGAATACTTGATAAAACTTTCAGTTCAATCATTGAGGCGGAAAATATCCAATTTTTATTTTGATGATATTTTTTATTCCTTGATTTTTGTGAGTTTCAGAGTTATAGCAATGTAATTTTAACGATTTTAAAAATATTTTTGAAGGTTTCAAAATTTATATTCTCAACAATAGAATTCTTTTAGTTTTTGAATGAATTTTTATTTCTTAAGATCACAACTTTTCAAAATAACTGATAAAATACACCTTTCAAAAGTAGAAAATAGTTATCTAATTATCTTGCATTAGTTCATGAACTTTATATCATATTTATCAATCGAATTAAAGAGCATTATTAAAAAGTAAAAGGGTTAATAAGTCATTCCGGAAAAACTAGAAATCTAAAATAAAATTTGTTTCCTCGTTTATATTTTTAAACTAAACTCTTAAACTAAACTATTTAAAATGCACCAGACTTTCAGAAATAAAACTCTCACTTTTGACGATTCAGCAGTCCTTAAGCTGTATTTCGTTATTTGGAAACTCATTTCGTTGCAAAATTACAGGATTTATGACAAACACGAACTTTCAAATAAACGACATAATAAATTTCTGAACTCAGAACCTCATCACAGTGCATTATGGGAAATCGCTATCTAGAATTACGAAATTAAAATGAAGACTAGACAGTCGTAACTAGAAAGGCAAAATATTTTTTACTTTTGACGAAGCTCGTTTCCCCGATAAAGACATGAAGTTATGTTACTTCGACGAAATGTATGCTTAGGGCGTATACGAGGAAACGGTTTCGTCAAAAACTAAGAATGTTTCATGAAATTTGAGGATCCATTTTCTTACAGTGTACAGTTTACGTTTCGAGCTTTATTATATAAGAATGTCAACAACATCGCAGTGTAAGGAAAATATACTGTCAACTAATAATTACCTTATCATGTAGTCTTCTTCTAGATATTTCACGCTGCGCTAAATCTAATATATTATCAATATCTTTCACAGCTTGTTTTCTTTCAAAAGAATTTGGACCATATTTATGACCTGTGGTTTAAACAAAAAAAAATCCAAATGAATGTTCTTAAAATTCCTATCATACGTCTAAACATGATTATTATACATTAGCATTTCCTTATTGAAACATTGTTTAAATTTTTATTCAATTCTCATTTAATTTATGAATCTTATACAGAATGTCCATGATTAAATTACCCTATTTTTAAGTTATTTAAATTACCCTATTTTTGATTCAGATAAATTTTTGTTAAGGTACTGAAGAATAAATAGTCACTTGTTTTAGCTTTAAGAAAAAGATATATGCTTTATGAATCACACATTTAGTATACATTTACGATTGTTAACAACTTTTATGAAACACATTTAGTCATCATTTTATTTTGAACTATTATCATGAATCATGATGTAAAAGCGATTCCTCAACTGACTGCAGTGTGCTTGGGGAAATGTATAAACATGTTGTGAAATACTTTCTTTCAAGTACAGATCTAGTACAGATCAAGTACAGATCTTCAATCTACGATCTAGATATTTCGAATCTCTTCGAGAGCAAAATCTGAATCAAGAAATATCGGTGGTGGTTATAAAAAACATTTCTGGCTTGGGAATTTAAAGCCATTTTTGTGACTTGCTCTAGTAAATTTCCATTCTTTTATTGAAACTCCTCGAACAAATAATCATAACTTTCTGAAAAAATATTTTTATAGATAATTTAAAATAAAGATGTTTAAATTTGATTGTAATTTGATTTTTTTATAACTTTTTTGTCAATCGTTTGAAATGAAATCCGTTTTTCTAATTGCTAAAATAAAAGAGAGTGAAATAAAAGTTGCAAAAATTTTCGTAATATTATAAGTCAGTAATATTACGACAACTTTTTTGAAAATGTGGTTAGGAAATGCACAGAGAAAATAATTCTGGTAAAATTACCATTCTGCATGATAAACATATTTCTGGTGAAAAAAACTCTTAATTATGGTAATCAAAATATATGGTATTTAAACCATTCGTTTGGTAATTTTTTCCCTCTATAAGTTGACAGTTAACCGGGAATTCTAGGCTTCAAAATTATAGTTCTTATCAACAGACGCTTAGCAAAAAATACGAAACTTTAAAGTAAGTTCACCCAATAAAATGGTTTTTATGCCATGAACTAAGGTATCATGATAAAATTTTTACCATACTTTATCATAGATAAATTTTGCCTAAAACATTACCAAAGCGCATTTGTAAATATTTCTGGGTTTTTTTGTTATTCAAATAGACCCAGAAACACAATAATTGAAACCAAATTCTAAGATTTGACCATTCCTTTTTCTCAATGTGTATGAACCTTTCGGTCATTTCATTGAAAGAGATGCAAATGATGTTAATCTACTATTTTAATCATTATTTTAGATGGAGATAAAATTTTAAACAAATAAATTGGAATTAAAGTTTCAAATAAATGTATTCGCTTGATTTTAAACTTCCTTTGAGTCTTACCAGTTTTAACTTTGAGTTTTAAAACATCATTAAAATGTTTCAAGTTAAAATGTTAAAGATTAAAATTCCTTTTTGTAAAAGTTACACAAGAAAACTCACTTAGAAATACTTAGTTACAGAAATAAAATGTATTAACTTTGATAAATTGATTTATCTTTAGAGTTGTAAGATTACTTAAAATCCCTTTCATATATATGCAAAATATAATTTAATGTATTTTACGTTTCTTTTTTTGTTAATGTAATGCTCTTATGATTTTATGGAATGAATGTTTAATTTAAAATTAATTTAGCTTTAATATCCTATTATGAACTAGGTAACTCACTGCATGGATATAAATAATTTGTGTAGGAACTGTTACTTAAAATTATTAGATTTTCTTTATAAACAGTATTTTCATACGTTATCCCCTTATTTAACTTATTTTCCCCTAATTTATCATCATTTCGAAAAAGATTCTCTTTTCCTGCTCTGATATTCCATAATTTTACTTCAAATGGTGTTAAAAATGTCTAAATATTTAATAATCTAATCAAACTATGAGAAGATATCTAACACTTAAAAATAATTATTGCTTAAAAGCATAATCTTTACAATTAATTACACATTGTACTAATTGCTTCATTTGAATATAATTCATGAAAACATAAGATTTGATTCATCAACTACACTTGAAAGTCGCATGTCATAAATAGTATATGATGAGAACCGTGGTGGCTTAGAGGATAGAGTGCTCACCTTCTTATGAGGCAAACCTGGTTCGAATTTCAGCGATGACTGATCTGTACGAATTCCGCACCCGGCTCACACCGACCAGACTGCTGCCATAAAATATCCTCAGTGGTAGACGGATCATGGGTTAGAGTAACTTTGCAGTCAGGCTAAATGTGGTAGGTTTGGGTGGTTTTCATCTCCATGGAACGCAAATGTGGGCTTGCTCCATCAAAAAGCCTTCCACGAAGGCAAATTTCTCCCAATACTTGATCAAAGAGTTCCCTTGTCTTCTGGATTAGGTTCACAATTACAAAGCTACGGAGTTGAACATTGATAATCGTAAACTCAGTTTCTGGTTGGATGCTTAACATCGGTTATAAACTAAAATAAAAACACTAAATCGCAACTGAAACAATATTTTCACCAAATGAAGAGAACTAGATCTTTTAAACTACTCGCACATTAAAAAAAAATATTATAAAAGCTTTCAAAACTAAAACTAATAGTCTATGTATCCGCAGTTGGAACGGCAAAAGTTAGGATATAAGAGATTTGATATAAATATACATATATCAATATATATATTTTTTATTTTTAAAATCTGGAAGAATGGTTTGAATTCTGCCTATTGAGATTTTATTTAATTTACTTAAATGTGAAAATGAATTCTCTTTACAGTGAGTAAGATTTCTATTTTAAATATTATACATTCGTGTTTCTGTAAAATATAATTTACCATTAAAATCTACAGATTCGTAGTAAATTTGAACTAATTGTACTTCATTCTTCTCCATAAGTTGTAGAGCTACTAACAGAGCATCTTTCGTATCATCGTTCACAGTAGACCAAGAATATCCAACATACTTATATTTTCGGCAATAGGTTGGTTTTCTACCTCGGATTTCAACCTAAAGTGGAGAATCATATATCAATTTCAGATAAGTTAAATATTAATAAATGCATGTGGAGTTAAGTTGGTTTGAGTTCTCCTGGAACTCAACGAAAATCTTTCTCACACCCATGCATTATGCTCAAAAATGAGTATACATAGGAATTCAATACATGTGCTGTTTCAATTTTGAATACATGTGGTTTTCAAATTCGACTATTATTTGTTTCGAAGCTCTGTCATAAAACTCAACTTTGAGAAACATTTTTTTTACAATGTCCTTAATATTTGAAGATCCGGACATTAAGTGTTTGCTAGATAATTTGATTTATTTCATTTCAGCATTTTAATATTTAATGACTGATTTATTATTATGCGTCGGAAATGTCTGTCGTTTTGATATCATCTTTAAGACAACTAATTAAAAAATGAAGAAAGCATCTAAAAACTATTGTTGTGTAGTCTTATTATAAGACAACATCTAAAAACTAAACATTTTGCAAAATGACTATATTCTATTTCTGTTTATTCAACTTTTAGTATGAATGATAGTTTTCCTGCACTAAATTTTTCCTCCCCAATTATTTTAAAACATCTTTAATTTTTGAAAATTTTAATTGCGTAAACATTTTTTTTACTAAATTTTAATTGCCTACTTCTATTTATATAATCCTGAACTTCAATAAACTGGTCATAATAGTAATAACTATAGTGGAAAGCATCATCTAAAAACTTATATTTTTAGAATGCTACTTGTTTTTTGCAGATATTTTTAAAAGAATGAAATTACACTTGTGCGATGATTTTTTATTCTGTAAAATAGAAAAATTTATTTTTTGAACTCCTTTTGTTTGGTGTTTTTTGAACAAGAAGATTTGAGAAGATCTAAAGACTTCCTACTGAAGTTGATACGTATTTTAATATGTGTTATCAGTAATTTTGATAAAGTTATCGGAAAGACTATTTACTGCACGATTCACAAAAAACAATAATGTCCTTTACCATTTCAAAATATTTTTCGGAATTAGTTAGCATAAAAGATGAAGAAAAAAGGGTAATAATTAGCGTACAACTACCTGGCAACCATCCCACCAATATAGGGCACTTCTTAGTCCATTCTTCTCAGCAGTTATCCAAAGTGGTTCAGCGCTATCCCACCAATGCGGAACTGAAGCAGTGTCATTCGGACCCATTAAGAAAAAATCCCCGAAGTAAGAATCATACATCATATTTTGCACAAATCCATGATTTTCGGCATAAAGACCTAAAAAAATAAATTTGGTAATTTTTCACTTTATGTTGCGCTCCATTAAAAAAATTAATTTGAATCAGTATAATAATCAACAAGGAAATGCAATTTTCAAAATTTTGAACTTCATTATCACAAACCTAAATTATATCTTGCGTATTTTGCAATGCAATATATCTTATAATAGCATATCATATAATTACGTACCTTACAATGTTTATAAATGCAAAATTTAGCCTGTTTCTAACAATATTTTGTTTTAAAATACCAAACAAGTTGAACTTGAAATCCTAAACAATATACTCGCTTAGCTAACAAGTATTTATAACTATTTTTTAGGAAACTAATATTGTATTACGTAATTATAAAATATGAAATTGGTATACTGAAATTAAATTTGAAATTCAAACTAATTCTAAATTTGCTTCAGTTTGTTTTCTACTCCTAAAAAAATAAGGTATAAAATATTTACACAAATTTATTTTTTTAACAATGTATTTTCACTTTCTTATCTATTGATAGTTTAAATCACTTAAACAATAGATAAACAATTTCCATTTTCAGTAATAAGCTATTAAATCTTCATTAAGTAATATTTTTCGTGATCTTCATTATAATACTTCATTTTTTATGATAAAAGTGATTGATTGCTTCGAGAAAAGTATTTACTAAATGGAATTCATTTTCGACTTAATAATCAAGAGATACAACTATAAACGTGCATAAATGGAAACAAATTCTTTCCTCGTCATGTTAAGGCCACAAAAATAAAATGAACGAGTACCTTTTTTCTTTCAAAAGCATATTTTTAGCAACAATAATGTGAATAATATGTTTACAAGACAAAGCTCATATTCTACTTAAATTTAAAAAGGACAATGGTAATTTTTCTAAATAAACATATATTCACAAAATTGAAATTTGTTGTTCATATAAAGGTATAAAAAATCTTAATTTAGAAGACTGAAAGAAAAATACATAGTCAAGATTCATAAAGATTTATTATTTTCATACAGGTTGCAAAATTAATAACTTAAAAGCTTATTTAAGTAATAGTTTAAAGTTCTCAACCTAATTTAAATAATTGCCTATTCATGTTCATTCTACTTTCTTTTGAAAATCAAGCTATTTAAAAGAAAGTTTCAAGGTATTAATGATAATGATAGCTAAGTAGGAAAGTAATTAAATTAATTGCTTTTGATCGCAACCTATTAAAATAATATCGTAATTGGAAAGATACTGGTTAATTCATTAAGTAGACTTTATCTTGATTTAATGAAAATTACAATAAACGTTTAATTTTTCAATTTATCCTGATTGTAAGGATTTAACAAACTTTGAAAGATGCTGTAAAGACGATTAAATTAATATTTTTTGAATTTCAATGTCCATAAATTTCAGTATTTCACTTGTTTGTTATTACAAGCTAATTTTTAATAAAGTTGACGTAACATGTCTTATTTTTAACTGAAATTTAAAGCATGTTTTATTGAGGTTTCGAACTATACTAAACTCTGCTATACTATATTTTTTTCATTGTTTCACACAGAAAGTAAAAATAATTTAATGAAATTTTTTAAGCGATTTCTTAGCAAAATTTTTTAATAGTTACGAAATTTTTGTTTTCTAAATAACTGCAGAATTAAATTCTAGTAAAACAAAAATCTTGGCCGGAAATTGCGTTGTTAAGTCAATTTGTTTTTAATTTTAGCGATTTAGATACCCTCTCATTAAAATATATTAAACCGATCAAAGTTATTTAACTGTGGACATGTTATAAGTACTCTACACTTTAATTTTATAACCGTCGTTGAACAGTCGTCCCAATTTTTGGTTTACGACTACTAATGTTCAACTACGTAGCCTTGTAGTTTTGAAACCGATCCAGAAGACAAAGTAAATCCCGGATCAAGTATTGGGAGAAATTCTGCCTCCAGGGAGGACTTTTTGATGGAATTAACCCGCATTTGCTTTACATGGAGAGAAAAACCATGAAAAGATCCCAAGGTTAGTCCGACGGCAAGGAGACTCTGACCCATGATCAGTCTACCAACCATTGATGATATTTTTACGTCAAAACTGCGGTCGGTGCAAGCCGTGTGTGGAATTCTATTCGACGAGCCATCGGTGGGATTCGAACCCAATTCATTTAATTGGAAGGAGAACGCTCAATCCTCTGAGCCACCACGGCTCAACTCTACACTTTGAGAAATTTTGATGTAACTTAAAAGATATTACAATGCAAGTTTGCGGTAACCTTAATTTGGCGTTATCCATATTATAGTGCTTCATAAAATTGATTTCTTAATACAAGTTGAATTACTATTGTTGTACTGTGTTATGGCTCAAGATATCAATATTTTCTGACTGAAGAGTATTGATAGTTCATGTTTACTAAATGAGTTGGAGGACTTCGTCTTATAATAAAAGAGTATCATTTTCAGTTGGCGCTCAGATAAGTTTGAGAATTATATTGTGAATAATCATTGATTTTGGCTTCGGTTTTGTTTAAATAAAGATGCTATGTCACCATGAACATAGCTTGATTATGTAAATAAAAGACTATCCATGTTGTTAATAAAAGATTATCCATGATATGTAATTAAATATCCTTGTCAGTCTGTGAAGTAGATTATCCATAATTACTAATTAATTCAAGGTTGATTTTTGGATTTGGACTAGTTTGGAGGTATTTTTTAGACGATTCCATTGGATCACCCATTCCTATTGAAGGATTCACAAATACGCGAGAAAAAGGATTCCAGAAGGAATGAGGTCAGAGGTGAATCAGATGTTACAGTCAAAAACTGCTTGGCTAATTGCGGAAATTCCAAAAAAATTTTTTTTTGAATAATATTTGAAAAATAAGTGGGTGAATAAAAATGGCCAGTTAACTCTCCTGATCTTGATTCCAATGATACTTCCTCGGATATCAGCAAGAAAAAATTCACGAAAAAAGATTGGGAAATAAAAAAAGATCTCAGTTGTTCCATAATTTAAGTACTATACCGAGATAACAAAATTGACCAAAAATGGTAGAATCTATGCCAAAAAAAGATAAATTGGTTCTGGAATTGAAGAAATAGCCTATTAAATATTAATTAAGAATAAATTGTATTAACATTTTCAATAAACTCTTTATTTCCAAAATGTGTGCTAGAATCAATTGTCAATGTAAAAAATGTTTCTATTGTCTTAGAGAACAATTTACTAGTTGCATATTTTGGGAATAAAGTATTCTTAAAATGTTTAGCAAAAGCAATGAATGAATAAAATCTATGAAAACGATGTTTAATATTTCCCTTAAATGATTTAAAGGCAGCTACTGAAATTATGAGTAGTTATCATGCTTGGATAAACATTAACTGACAAAATTATATAACTGCCATGGGCAAATCCCGCAAACGTTACTAATCTGAAATGGAGACATATTTCTATGAAGTCGAATTACATGTTGAATATACCACTAGTGATGATAAATGATTAAGCTTGCAATTGTTTGTTCTAGAATAGTTTGCTAATGATAATTTTCAATTTAATCTACTTTCAATTACTGTCAAACTTATATATTTATTATAATACTTACTTCAATTAATGTCTTTTCACTAAGGATATTGAAAAGAATAGCAAAAGGTCTCTAGGATTATATTGAATATGCGGTATATTGAGAGAAATGTTTATATTTTTGAAATTACATGCCTACAACTACAGATAAGATTATAAAAGCATGTACAATGCAAAAAATCCCGGATATAATTACAGTACGAAGGAGCATTATCCGTAAAATCCATTTTTACAGTAAAATCTATATTTACCGTAAAATATTATATCGTAGTTTTAACAGCAATGTTTATTTAGTTAATTTTTACAGTACTGTAAAAATTACGATTTATATCAGATTTGTTTTATCTGTAACATGTTTCGGTAAAAAGTAAAGGCTCTCTGATTGCCCGTACGGTAATTTTTTACAGTGTAATTTAATGTAAATTTTGATCGATCATTACATCAAAAACACACATTTGTGATTTATTTGCATGTATAATATACCGGATATTTTAAATTAGGCTGTTTATATATTTCCACTAAGAAAATATAAACAGAGGCATTTTCATTTATTTTTGATACACCTAATACCCCTTTAGCTACAGTAGGATTGTATTTTACCACAAAGCAAACCTTTTAGAAAAATACGAATAAGTAACTGACTTTAAATGCTGTGATAAGGCGTCGATAGATTTGTGTATAGAAATATAAATTGAGCAGAAAAAATATTTTTGCTCTAATGGATGATGCGCGAAAGTATATTTAATCAGCATTTATATAGCAAAATAATTTTTTGGCAGCATTGCACAAAATGTATTGTTTTGTTTGTGTATGGTTTTATACAACAATGCATATGATTTAAACTTTTTTAAAATTGTGATGGCTTAGATATTAGAAAAAAAGGTTAAGTTACGATAAATGCAAGCTACAAAGTGAAATTTTCCGCAAAACCAAAGGTTAGAACAAAGATTGTAATATAGGTATGGGGAACATCTGAATGCCGTTAAAAAAAATTTAACACCATACCAGAGCTAGAATTAGGGCAGAAAAAAAGATCTTCCTGGTTTTGACCTCGAAAGGCTTGTGAGCTGTAAGCTAAGTAAGATTATTTACTTTCAGAACTGGAAGATTGTAATAATTTATTAAATAATTGTGAAAAAAGTCTTGTCGATAGATTTTTATTAATTAAATAAGTTTGCATTTTCAACTGTAAAATTATATTATTATTATTAAATTATATTAATATATTATAAAATTATATTATATTAATATATTATATTATTATATATTATTATCTAACATTAACTATATATTTCCCCCTTTAGAGAATGTTTTTGTAACAAGTCTAAAATATTAATTGACGAAAATATCACCCACATTGCGTAAAAGTTAAGTTCTCAAAACTGCCACTCACTTAACTTCAATTACCTTTAATGATAGCTTTTCTGCAATACATCTTTAGAGCTAAAAGT